ATTTAAAATGTAGCGAATTACAATTCTTTTTTTAAAACTTACTCAAGTAAAAGTAAAATGTAACGTGATGAAGTACAGATTTTAAAAACGACTTCAAAAGTATAAATATACAAAAAAAGCTACTCAATTACAGTAACATGAGTAAATGTAATTCATTACTTTCCACCTCTGCTAAATGCACATTACAATGGGATAGCTTCTTTTCATGTGCAACGCCTTGTTTAAACAAAGTAAGGCAAAGCGGATTAGAAAATAGCTTTTTAACCCGATTGACTTGCGTTCATTTTTTTTGTTTTTCTAGGGACCCATGTGCCGACTGGAAAGGGAGGAGACTTAGGCTCCCTATAATTGACTTGCTTTGGCTGCCATCTTGAATTTGGTTGACTCCAAACATTGAGCAATCGTTGATGCACATCTTATCATGACTCAGTGTTTGTTAAATTAAATTATGAGAATTTATGCACGCTTACACACACACACGCATACACACACACGCACACACGCACACACACACACACACACACACACACACACACACACACACACACACACACACACACACACACACACACACACTATTAGAAAATTATGCTAATTTGATGTTGGATGATTCATCACTGACAGCCAAAAGTACTTTTAGTTAATATTTCTTTTATTTAAAAATGGAAAATAATGCTAGAGGACCGTTGGTAGCTTCAAAAGCATTCATAAAATGTTAGACTCAGTAAAATGTCAATATTATCATGTATATTATTGCCATGAACTCAGAATAAGATTACTTATGTAAAAGTCACAGTCAGCTAGAAATTTACCAATGTTTTCTTATATAAGTAAACATATCTGCTTCAGGAGCGTCTACGTGTTTTTGTGACATTCATGACTTTAATTCGTTTTATGAGCCAAAGCAGCTGTGAGATTGTTATTGTGTGTATATAACTAAAGAGCTGATAACCTTGACTGATCTCTGCAATCTCAAAAGACACTTTTTTTTCTATTTCTGATGTGATTTGCTGCTATGATACTTTATTAGGAGGAAAACAACTTAATGAATAATTTGGATGCATCTCCCCTTTGATTAAAAGGATGATGGTCTAGACGGTCGCTCCCCTTATAAATACCTCTCCTTTCATATTATCTTCCTGTCATCAAGTAGATAGTCAGTTTTCCTCTCTATAGGAACATCCCAACAAACATTGGTCTGACGCCGACGTGGTGTCCACGTCCAAAAATGGTCGCGGTAGGACGGCCCGAATTTGTAAAAAAAATAAATTAATTAACAGAGCATGTCTCAGAAATCCATTCAGATACATTTGTATGTGCCTACAGTTATTTGTATAATTATTATTTTGACAATTACTTAAGTATAGTTCAACATAGCATTCCAGCAAATATTGGTCCAATGGCAACGCCGTGTCCACGGCCAAAAATAGTCGCGGTAGGACCCTACAAAACATTGGTCCGGCGGAGACGTGGTGTCCACGGTCAAAAATGAGGACGGTCCAAATAAAAAATAAAAGTTAACATAACATTTCCTAAAAATCCACTCAAATTTGTAGTTACATGTTTAATTGTTACGTGTAATTCACGTCCAGAAAAGACGTCGGTTCAACTTTCATTTTGGAACTATTTTTCAACTATGATGGGACCGACGTTGTTTCACCGTTGATTAAACGTCCGAATGTTTTTTTGGGATGCAGCAACTTTGGCGACACATTAAAGAGATTTGAGCAAAAAATCTTAAAGCTTTTCAAAATAAAACAACACTGAAGATATTTTCTATTTTGGTGCAGACGTTTGCTGACCTCCTGACTCTACTTTTCATGTTATTATTACAAGGTTTGTTATTATCTCACTCATAAACAAGATTAACAAAACATGCCTGTACCACTGGCAGATTTGAGTCAGGTCACCAGGGGATGGTGTTGCCATGGCAACCCAGGGAAGAACACTATGATTCTATGAACTCAGGTGAAATAAACTTGCTTGCTGTCCTGCGGTGGTTTACTTCAGGTGACTGATGTCGCATTTGCTCAGAGATAGATTAGTCAGGGATCTTTTTAGCTTATCTTTACTTTGGTGTTGCAAACGCAACATCCCTTATAAAGAGCCACCAGTGTTGCCACAGTTACCTTGAAATCGTAATCTGATTACTGACTACTGATTACTCCTTCCAAAAGTGACTTAGTTACTTTACTGATTCATTCATTTAAAAAGTAACTAAGTTAGATTACGAGTTACTTTATTTGTTACGTTTAGCATTTACCAAAAACACTCTCCACTGCCTCAACATAAAAACTACAACTGGTTTTGCCAACACTCACTTTATTGCAAGTGTTTTTTAACAGTAATGTCAACAAAGTATCTTCTTACATTTTAAGTTGAACTTAAAACCTGATGCCTGACATAATGCATGTTTGTATAAAAATAAGATTAAAAAATAGTCTTTCTTGACCTCACTTAAAATAAATAGTATTCATAAAAAAAATAAATACACAGAGCCAGCACAGAGCAGGGTTTCCCCCAGTGCTTTATAAGCCTGGCAGGCCGCCAGGCTTTGCTTGTCCACCCGCCAGGCTAAGCGTCATGCCCCGCCCCCCTCCCAGACCCTATTGTGTCCGCTGACACGAACGGCGCAGCGAAACTAGAGCCCTCCATCAGCTGATACTGGTGAGAAACAGCAGCGGAATGTGTGTAACCCCCCCATCCCCGCTCTCATAGAGGAGCGCTGCAGGACACAGCGCGCATCTCCCCACCCCCCCACCCCCCCCCCCCCCCCCCGACGGCCGAACCCGCCAGGCTTAACTCATTTTCTGGGGGAAACCCTGCAAAGTGTACAACGAACCTTAATATTTAACTAATCCAAACTCAAAATAATGACGATATATTTCCAGCTAGAAAATGCACCTCTCTCTCCTCCCGCCATTGTTGCTCACACTGTAGTACGTCCCTAGCTGGCGCTGCTTGGTAGGTGAGAACAAAAACATCCCGTGAACTGTCGCATACGAGACCGTTCTATTGTTTGGTAAAGCAGTATACTGCTTCCCATGTACGTGGAAAGTCCGCGTTGATTGGGTAAATGCATTATGCATGGCTGATCTTGGCTCTGCCCCTGCCGTGTTAGTTTTCCGTTGCTCAGGATTTTCTTAAGCAGAAAAAATTCAGAGTAAAGGACAAAATAACTCACAATGGCTTGAACAAGTAACTTTAATTTGTTTACTAATGTGGAAATAGTAACGCAGTAGATTAGTCATTACCAAGAAATGACTATATTAGAGTAACGTGCTACTTTGTAACGCGTTACTGGCATCACTGAGAGCCACATACATTTAAAAGGAACTTACTTCCAACACATAGTTGAATCCTTTTTGCTGTTTTTCACTTGTTGTTTTTAAATTTAAATAAAATGTGTTGTTTATTGTTAAAAATGCAAAACATTCAGTGTAGATTGTAACTAATACCTGACGGTACTTTACTTTTTGGACTTAAAGCCTAATGTCACTGTTTAAAGAGACTGATCTAAAATTCTTAATTGTTTCATTTGTTTGTTTTCTTATTCCTTTGTTCGTTCCTTGTTTCCTTACCCGAGGACACCTGCTTTAGTGACTGACTCTGACATTTAATGATGTTGACTTGATGTACCGCCACGCAGCGCTGACTTGACATGATACATGATGGTTTGAAGCAATGCATTCTGGTCCGACATTCTTCCATCCTGCAGAATGTTGCTGTGGCACGCAGCTTTAAGAGCTTGTGGCAGTGAGGAGACTGTGCTTAGGGCAGCTGCTCTCCTCTGTGAGGCTCTGTCTGGTGTTTAGTTCACATCTGTTCTCTCTTATTGTTACCTCCCCTAAAGGGGGTGGTGTGTGTTTAGCGCCCTTCTTTGACAGCTCTTTATTCGTACATACGGACACTGGAGTCTTCATTTCCTGCAGAAACACTGTTAATGATTTTGTTGTCACTGAGGAAAAGAACAAATGCTGTCAGTTTTACTGTCTTTTCTTCCTCTTTGTGATGTGATTCTATAGCACACGCTTAAAAAAAGAGCTAAACACAAGTTTAACTTTGACTGTTTTCATTGATCATGAAGCTTGTTACTTAGTGCATTTGTATCAGAAAATAAAGATTTTATTAATTTTCACGGGTGTGTGGAGCAACTCATCTGATTTTAAGAAAAAGACCCAAAACTGAAGGAAGACAGTCACTTTATGTGGAGGAGGTAGAGGAGAAGTCATCATAGCTCAGCTCCATATATATTAAGTTGTGTTAAAATACATTTAAAAATTAGTTTTATTCATATATATAAATACACACATTCACCTAATACATTAAGACAGGTCATGTGATCTAAACTGCTATCTTCACTAGTAAAAAAAAAACCATTTAGCATTTTAATCCAATCTGAACAGTAAACCATGTCTTGCAGGTCGTGTGTCAAACCCATTGTATGAGATGTTGGGAAACTGCTAAAATCATTTTCAAAGTTTGACCCAATTGGTTTCATTTCATCACGTTTCACCATAAGATGACCTGAGTGGAAAACGTGTCATGAAAGGCAGCGGGTGACAGGCTTTGATTCAAGGAATGAAAGGCTTTTGAAATATGATTATTTTGAGCATATGTGTGTAATAATAATCCTATTACTGACAAAAGTGTGGACATTTAAATCCATCAAATCCTTAACTAATATGATAAAATAAATAAATAGTCATCTGAAACAAAAACCTGTCACGTTAAAGTTTGTGTTTCTGTCTGTAAACCCGTTGCTGTTGCATTGATGAGTTAATTTTTGCCGTAGAAGAAAAATTCATCTGAGAAAAAACTTCCAGCTGTGATCAATTACTGCAGCCTGCCATCCGTCAAACTGGCAGCATAATTTTTTTTGTTTAAAGGCAAATTTTCTCACATTATTGGACTGATACATAATCATTTGAGTCCTCCTCTCTTTGTCGCCTCCCCCTCCACCCTAACATGTTTGGTCTTGGTCTGTCTGTCCGCCTCAGGGAACCTAGAGTACCATTTGAGACTTCACAGAGGAGAGAGGCCGTTTCCCTGCCTCGAGTGCAGCCAGGCTTTCACCCAGAAGCTTGATCTCCAGCGACACATGTTCTCCCACACCAAAGGGGGATTTCTCTGCAGCTTCTGTGGGAAGTCTCTGAGGGACCCCCACAGCCTGAGGTACCACGAGAGGCTGCACACTGGAGAGAGACCCTATTGCTGCTCTGTCTGCGGGAAAGGTGATAATCTGAAACGGAAAATGTAAAAAGAGAATCTATTTAGTTTGTAGAAGAGTTAAATAACAAGACAGTTTTCTACTTCATTCCATGAGGAATTTAGATCAGGCCAGGTTCCTCCTATAGGAAGACCGGTGCTCTTATCAGTGGAGCATGACGGCAAACTAAAGCTGCAGGATAAAAAGTCTTCAAACTGTTCAGTAAAAAGAACATTTTTCTATGTTCCTGAACAAAAACAGAGCTGTGAAAAAAAGATTGGTCCCCTTTTTGGTTTTAGTCCACACGTAACAGTTTCAGCTCATTTCATATTTATTTAAATTGCATATAATGGGATTTGAGTATAGTTGGAGGTACAGTGAGCTTTTAAAATGTGTGATATTTTGCAGTTTCATATATATATATATATATATATATATATATATATATATATATATATATATATATATATATATATATATATATATATATATATATATATATACATATGGACTGCCTGTCCAAAATAAGTTGCCACCTGGATTTAACTAAGCAAATAGGTTGGGGCTTCCTATTGGATAAGTACTGCATGGGTGATTATCTTTCAGCTGACAACATGTTATTTAACCCCAACTGGTGCAATGAGTTTCTTCTCATTTCTTAAACAACCATGTGGAAAGACACATCTGGTGGTCGTGGAAAAGATGTTAGTCTGTTTGAGAAGGGTCAGATCATCGGCATGCATCAGTCAGAGAAAACATCTAAGGAGATTGCAGATTGCATTTGTAGCAATACACCAGCTACACTGGGTTCACCCACACCACTCAGACCACACAGCTTGCAGGTTCAACTCTGTATTAGGCTCTCCTGGTCTGACCTACACACTCCTAGTGCTCGTCCCAGGTCTCAGGGCAATCAGACTCTTCTCCTGGTGATCGGCCTCAGGTGTGCTCCGCTACAGCATTATTAAATAATAATAATAATAATAATACATTTTATTTCAAAGCGCCTTTCAGGACACCCAAGGTCACTTTACAGAAAACACGTAATTAAAGACTGATGAGTCCAGATAGACCCTGTTCCAGAGTGATGGTGCATCAGGGTAAGAAGAGAGGCATCATGCCGAGTGCCTACTGTACAAGCCTGTGGGGGCAGTGCTATGATCTGGGGTTGCTGCAGTTGTTCAGGTCTATGTTCTTCAACAGGATGTGCTCCAAGAATGAGGTCAGCTGACTACCTGATTATACTGAATGGCCAGGTTATTCCATCTTCCCTGACGGCACGGGCATATTCCAAAATGACAACGCCAGGATTCGATGGGCTCCAGTAGTGAGAAAGTGGTTCAGGGAGCATGACGCATCATTTTTACATATGTATTGGCCACCACAGAGTCCAGACCTTAGCCACATCATTGGGATGTGCTGGAGAAGGCTTTGTGCAGCTCTACCATCATCAATACAAGGTTTTAGTGACACATTAATGCAACACTGGATGGAAATAAATCTTGTGACGTCTGCAGAAGCTTATCGAAACAACGCCACATCGGATATGTCGTAATCAAAAGTTCAAGGCAACAAACTACTAGAGTGACCTTTGTTTAATTTTATTGGGTTTTTTTTTTTTTTTGGTGGAGACTTTTTTTTGTCCAGGCAGTGCACTTACACACATTTTTGTCTCTGACTTTGTTCTTTCATCCAATAATTAGGAGATTTGGAGCAGAAAAAAGTGCAGTTGAGACCAAATTTGGAAAAATAAGTTGATGAGGAGCCAGCCGGGTGCGTGAAACACATATTGGCCAACACACACACACACACACACACACACACACACACACACTCTCTCTCTCTCTCTCTCTCTCTCTCTCTCTCTCTCACTCGGCCGGCCTTGTTTATCTCCCCCAGCAGGCTGCAGCTCTGTCCTTAATGCATGAAGGGAAAGCACAAACTGCTGATTACACATATGTTCACATATTCTTTTCATGAAGCGTTCTACATCGTAAACTTGCTTGCTGAGTTCACTAGTTCTATTATTGAAGAAGTTGAAGCCATTTAAAACATGTTTTGTTCAGAAACCACTGAGTTTATATTTCTGGAGTGTTGACATCAGAAATGTGTTTAATGTCTATAGACTGAAGCGATTTTGGAAGAGCCTCTGCAGTTAGTAAGTAATTATCAAGCATAACTAGTACTTCACCTAACATTACTTATAATATATTTGACTCAAAATGCTATAATTATTGTAGTGAACAGCTTATTTTCCATCTGCAGACAAACTGATGATTTTGTCCTTTTTTCATGAGGCATTTACAGTTAAGTGAAGATCTGAACGATCATAGTAAAGAGTAATGTGGGGGAGACGCTAGTGAGTGCCAACAGTGTAGGATGTTGTGTTAAGCCTGATTTATGCTTCTCCGTCTGCGTCAGTGCGGAGACACGCAACGCAATCATCCGTCCTTGCGTAGGGATCCGGCAGGCACGCAAGTACGTACGGAATCGAGCCCACTTTTTTAAACATCCGTCGAACGAGACGGATTACGCAAGCTTGTGACTGGTCAGGACGCCGCTGTTGTTTACAGCGCCGCCATTGCAAAGAGAGCCGAGGATAACTAGCGGCAGACACTGAGAAGCTTGAAGAATACCTCGCGAAAAAACTCTAAAAATATGAACGTTTCATCCTACCGTGACTGGAGGAGTGAAAAGATGCACAGAAAGCGTTTTATTTGTGGACGGAAATGACAGGAAACGTGGGTTTAGAGGTGGTGAGCGCATGAAGCGGTGGGAGAATGAAAGACAAATATGTCCGTGTTTAAAGTCTCTTATATACACAAAAAACACAATATAAACACACGATCTTGGACCGATACATGACAGTATACCACAGAACAGCGCTACGCCCTCTGTTGTCCTGGCGGGCAATTGCTTTGCAACACTCTCCAGGAGACGGAGAAGTATGAGAGCAAAACGCTTCCGTCAATCCGTGCGTGTCTGTCCCTTGCGGAGCTGACGGAGAAGCATAAACCAGGCTTTACGCCCCTGCCTGAAGCTTCTCTCACAAAAAGCAACAGTGTTTAGTTGTTTCTTAATTTAAATGTTTTTTTAAAGGATTACTTTTAGTATTAGAAGTGGGGCTGTGTGGGGTCGTTGTGGTCGGCCAGTATCTTCCCTGCAGTTCAGAGAGCCGGTGAGAATTTTCCTGAAGGAGACGAGCTGACTTCTAACCAGAGCAGGAACCATTCAAGAGAAACTTTCTACATCTAAAGCATAAAAACACCCACATGCAAATGCAAGACCTGCTGATCTGAAGGTTCAGAGTGTGTGTAGCTTCAGTAAAACAAGTCTCATCATGGCCACCATGTCTGTTTTATTTTCTCAGTAAGGAATCTTTGTCTCCTTTTATCATGAAGTGCTGCTCCTAAATTGTGCCTGCAGCTCTCTTTGTTGCTACCGTAGCGCCGCTGGATTTAAAGCTCAGTAACTCAAACATCACAGCATAGGAAACAAGATTCCTTTGTCGTGTTTTTAGTACTACATGCAGAGGAATCTATCCTGAACCATTTTTACACGGACTGTGCAAAACTAAAAAAACTTAGAAAATACTAAATTAACTAAATGTTTTAAGGGGAGACTAGGCAGTTATGGCTTGCTTTTAGCGTTCCTAGAGTCCCTTTAGTAGAACCCCTAAGCACAACTTAGCTCCTCGCTGTGTGATTGTTTTTTTAACACCTTAATCTAACTGTTGAAATGTCTCCCCAGCCTTCATTAATATCGACAGTAGCGATTCACAAGTAAATCAAACAAATCAGCTGTGGTCATGATCTATAACATGAAGGAAACTTGCTGGAAGCAGACTGCTGCACCAAGTATGTCAGCTCAACTTTTTTCTAAGTCCAACAGACTGGACTGGCAGTCCGAAGTTGCAAATTCGTTACAAGACTCGGGATCACACGTGATTATTTGTTGCATTCTGGGATGTGGAAGACATGTTGATGACCTTACGAGTGTAAACAGAGCGTGTGCTGCAGAGAAGAAGCAGATTTTGGAGAAAGGAAGCGTTAACATGTTAAAATCCCTAAACGTATGTGGGGAATATACAGGCATATGTTAAAGAGGAAAGCCAGGGACCAGTATTAGCATTATTAAGGGTTTGAATCCATATGAAAGACCCAAGACTAGAGAACCAACGACAACGTGTTGCCACTGTAGCTCTGCATAACAGACGTGTTCGGCCTACATGTTTGTGGTGTGAGCGGATGTAAACGTGCGGGTGAGACGTAAACGTTTCTTTTGCTTGTTTTCCTAGTAAAACGATCAAAATTGTCATCCTATAGAAGAAGTGTAGCAGGAGGAATTGTGTTGTGTCAGTGCGCCGTCATTAGCCTACCAGTGTGTGTGTGTGTTGTGTGTGCATGTTGCTGTTGAAGGAAAGACACGATGAGTAAAAAACATACACCATCTGTAACTTAAAAAAATGAAAATACTCCAGAAGGTGATGTTTGGTTGCTTTACAGTTGTGATCCAAGCGGGCCGACGAGACTCTGTTATAGATACTTGGTCTTCGTGAAAAGTTAGCTTGTTTTCCACCTTTTTCCCTGGGGATCACGTTACGCCCCACAACACAGCAACAATTTACCGTGGTTGCGTAATATAACCGATCCAATGAATAATAGAATAAATGAAGTTGCAAGACTGACAGTGAGCATGCTGGTGTCTGGAGTAACAGTTAAGGACTTGAAAGTCGCCAACATGGCAGCTGCGTCACTGATGACAACATAATCCCAAGCCCTATTCTGGCCACACAAGGCGGTGTGGGTCATTCACCCAGTAAAGGGTCATTTTAGCTCAAACTGGTTCAAGAAAATGATTTAACCCTTACCCAACATTAAAGCATTTGTTTGTGCTGACTCATGTATTTTTGTGTATAACTTTGGCTATGTTAATGCAATTGATCTATTTTTGGGGAGGATGTGTATTTTTGAAGGAATTACTAAAAATAGTTAGAAAAAATCTTCAACTTCCTTTATTATAACG